GAATATTCTAGACGTATGTCATAGTATCCCTCTCGCTACCCGCGTTCGACGGCCAGAGGGAGTGTGGCTTTTGGCAGCACTAAATGCGAGTAAGAGTGCGCGACACTGTTGACGAAACATCCATTGGATATTTACGTAAGCTTTACGTATATGTTCTCTTATTATTCTTACATGAATATTTCGATAAAAGTTGGTGAGTATCTAATCGAAGTATGTAGTTTTTAAATGGTATTGTTATTTTATGAATATTTAATAATAATAAAAAGTTATATTTTTTTTCCTCTCGCCATCATATTGTTCGTAATATGGAATATCGTCGAGTTCCTAATATGGAATACTAGTCCATATTAGGATCTCAACGTAAGTAAGTTTTTAATGTGGTGACTTATTACTATTTCTCTCTTTTACAAATATATTCATGATCAACATGGATCCGCCAGTAAAAAACCGAAAAGCCTGAAACAAAACCAATATGGAAAATGCTATTGAAGCGGTGAAAACCCAAACAATGGGTTATAAGAGAGCTGCACATGTCTTTCATATAACAACATATAAGTCAGAAAAACAAGCGAATGTAGAAACCAGTGTTGAAGTCTGAATCATCTTCTGATAGAAATACCACCTTTATCTAATGATTATAGTGACGATAAGCCCGCAGTTACTCAACTGTACGATCCAAATGCTGACGCTGGGTGCATTTATTGCTCTGTTTTTCTCAGTGAAGACAAAAAGGGAGAAGAGTGGATTCGGTGCATTGCCTGTAGACAGTGGTGTCACGTTGCGTGGTCCGGATCAGAACATGCAGATTTTATTTGTGATTTTTGCTTGCAGGGTTGATTTTATTATTTTGTTTTGATTAACGAGACGTGATCCTATTATGGAGTAGGGTATTCCATAATAGGATCACATTTTTGAGAAGCAATTTTTTGGTTGATTTATTTTAGTTAATAATATTACGGAAAGTGTTTATTATTTGATGATTTCATTATTACTTTTCAAGAGTAATTACTACTGCATTTAATTGTAAACCATTAAACTGATTAAAATAAAACTTTTGTACTGGTTTTTTTCAGAATTTGTTTATGTATTCCATATTCGGTCCTTCTCCTATACCCATATTTTTTTAATGTTTTTTGGCTTTAAGAAAATTAAATTATATCTCACTTGTGTTACGTAACATTTTTTGTGTATGATCTTCCGCCATATATAATAGGTATGATTATTTGATTGTCCTAAACTCAATCTTAGAAGATTCGTCTCAATAGTGACCACTTGTATGTAACCTATAAATTAATGAAAGCATACTTTTGGCTACTCAGATATTTTTCATTAAATCATTGAAACCCAAGTACGTAATTATGTAAAAAAAATCTTGCCTTGTACGTCGAAATATCATTATAGATCGATGCTTGAAAATTACTACTCGTTTAAATATTTGTAAGGTCATTAACTTTTTGTGTGAAAGGGCGAAATTTCTAAGAGCTCGTAATTGTTGGACAGCTTTCGTTCCCACACATTATATAATTAACTATTAAGTTTACTGTAACATGTTACATTTAACATGTTAACTTAAAAATCTCAAAATTTTACAGTTTTTTGTAATAAGTATAGTGGCCCTACACTTAAGGTTTAAAAACCGACCTGTCTGTCTGTAACAACTATACCTTCAAGATGCTGCAAAGCATTCAAAACCTCGGGAACCAAAAATCAAAATAAATCCGCGAAATAATCCGAAAAGATAGTTTTATTTAAAAAAACGCGTTTTATTTAAAACCACACAAATTGAAAAGCCTTCATTCATTATGTTCACGGTATTCGGTTCAAAATATCTCTTGGCTTCGCACGAAATATGAAATTAACTATAAAACTCATTGTAACATTCCTAATGCGGTAAATTTGGGAATTATAATGTTACACAAAGATTTTTTTGTTGTTAGACAATAATAGTAACTTAAGTAAAAGTAATGTAATCTAAAGTAATAATCTATGGTCATAGTGAGGAAATATTTTCTAGAAAGGCCATTACTGACTTTTGAATACTGTCTAAAATGTTAATTGAGTAAGCTAAAATATGGAAATGTCATAAAACATCATAAAAAACACACACATTTTTTAGAATTCGTTTATGTTTACTTAATCTATAGTTTGATATTTGCAGTAATTTTGTTATGTAAACATATTTTTATGGTTATTGCTTCATCCAATATCAATAAAATTCAGCGATTTCTGTACTTTTAACATTAAAAAGATATTACAAAGTTTCAAGATTTCGTGTATATTCTTTAAAACGTTAAATACATTTATTTAAATTTTATTACATATGTCTACTAGTTTCTACAATATAAAAGTAGCATTAGTCCGGTTCAACAAGCCGCTCTACCGCTCTATCATTTGAGGAATGCAGAAATAAATGCATTTTCCAGAAGAAAGCTTTATGGTGTGTAGAAAAATGTAGTTGTAGCCCTGTAAGGTGAACTTAAAGCTATTTTCACATACTTTCCCATGTTACTAGTTTAGATCGAGTCTGTAATATAAATATTTAGTTGAGATCGCTTTCGTAAAACCATGGACTTTCAAGTGCAGCTATATATAGGTATTTTATTAAGCTCAGGCTAAGATGAATTGAATGTACTTTTTGTGGATCATACAGTGGCCATGGCTACGAATTGGGTAAGTCTTCAACGTAGAAAATTTAAGTTTAAAAGCTTATTTTTTGTAACACTTGTGAGCTTTTGTACACGTCGCTCAAGATGAATGGAAGCTACATGTATTAAGTTAGTTAAATTGAATTTTAAATAATTTTTTTGGCTATTTCATTAAATATTTCATATTAATAATTTCATCTAATTTCATATTTAGAGGTGATTTTTAAAAATCATAACGTATCAAAAACCTACTTCGTCAACTTTGAAACAAAACTTCTTTATATTTTAAGAAAATAAAGAATTTTGTGCCAGTCATTTATAACTTTTTAAAAGACATAAAGCCTCGACTTATACCGGTGACAAGAGCTTTTAGCCCAAAGTAGTGGCGTTGGTATTTAGCGGGGGAATGCGGCTAGTATTCTTGCCACCATTCCACGCGGACATGACTTGTACAGTAACAATTAAGTGTCCATCTGTTTTGTATAATATATAACTAAAAGAACCCGCGGCTACGCCTGCGTTCAATCTACAAAAAAAACTCTTTGGCTTTATATTATATAGCGATTCACCCTCGCTTCGATCGGGTTTGTCGCTATGTACCTATTTATTTATTATTGTTCATACAATAATACTAAAATCGCGATTAAAAAATGGCGGGTGGGGGTAGGAGTTAGAAAAATACTTTACGGCCTATTCTGATACCTAACAAATATACAAAAAAAATCATTAAAATCGGTCGAGCCGTTTCGGAGGCGTGCGACAACAAACACCGTGACACGAGATTTTTATATTTTAGATTAAGCATATTTGTAAATTTTTTATTGTTTTTAGTGTTAATAAAAATTTAAGCTTAGAAAAGCTAGATATTTTTTTTAAAACATTTTCAACAATACTTTGCAAATCGATTATTCAAACGGTAATGGAACAAGTGAATCATTACAACCTACCGATTGATCTAGGATATGAATCAGACGTGACTCATATTATGTAATTTGTTAATAACACCTGTAATTTGTGTTTAGTTAGCAATAAATAAAAGTCTTCTGCGTTTGAATTAATTATTAGCAGAATAAAAATAATATATTATAATATAATCTTTTTATGTTATGTACTTTAACTCAATGTATACACAGATTAAAAATCATTTTAAAAGTAATTATTGTGCTAATCTTAGGTTTTTTTTTAATTTTTAAATAGATTATTAAGAAAATCAATTCACAATAGGAGAAGATATCGCGTTATTTGTAACGATTTTCTGAATAATTTACAACATCTGAATTAAATACCTCCTTGAAATAGATTAAAAATTAATGTTGAATGACAAAAAAAAAATGAAGAATGACATTCTTAATTGTATTTACTCGTTTTGATTGATTAAAACCTATTTTATGGTTAACTTTGAACTGTGTTCCAACGCGTTAAGTCGGTGATTCTTAGGGCTAATCTTAGAAGCTACTGTAGACTACTAACATTCTTATAGATTTCATCAATAGAAAGATATTGTTTAGTATGTAATATGTTTATAGGCTATAATGTTTGAATATGTTGCGAAAGCAAGCTATCGGTATGATGTTATACATATATTAATTAATTAGGAAAAAATCATCCCCATCTAGGGGCGTATTTGAACGAAGCATGTATACATATATAATAAAATTGTAACTAAGCCGAATCTGTACATTACATATTTTTTGGAAAATCTTATTGAAATAAACATTATTATCGATACAGAGGCCGAATCTATAGTTCGCATCACAGAAAAACCACTGGAGGGATTTTGATGAAATTTGGTATGGTGATAGCTGGTTATCCGGGTCAACATATAGGGTACTTTTTACCGTGGGAAAAAGTCTCATTTCTGAAAAAAAAATACAAAAACTGCAATGTAATAGTATACTTATATGTAAAACCTAAGAATTTGGTTTTTGGACATCGGAACGCGGGCGGAGCCTCGGGCAATGCTAGTATTTTATAAGCCACTAGGACTATTATATTTAATAGGGCTTTCGTAAAAGCGTTATAAAGTATGACCAATAATAATGTAATTTATGACAATGTATAAACGTCATACTATATTAATTATGACGATATTATCTGTTTGACGATAAATTAGAACATTGCGTACGAAGTAACTATTAAATAATAATTAGTCTGTGATAGCGTTACGGCCGCCATCTTTTGGCGTCATGTGAAACAACCGCCGTCGGTCGCGTCTGGCGTCAACTTTTTAGTTTGTAGGGTGAAATATATAGTAGTCTCTCTACACGCTTGATGCGGCGTCCATTCGCTGTACGTAGCGTCTATAGTCATTTTAAAGCGCTGTTGTGTATTGACGTCGCACCTTTTTATTACAAAATGGCGAAATTTGGAAAGGAAAAGGACGAATTACTAATTGAATCTGTAAAAATGTACAAAAGTTTATATGACGCTAAAAATACCGCTAAAAATTTTAAAAACAATATTGCGAAGCATAAATGCTGGGAAGAAATCAGCGCGGTTATCGGGTTTCCAGGTGAGTGTTTTTAATCTATGTTTAATATTATAAGCGTGAAAAGTTTCTCAAGATGTAAGTTTGTTATTCTTATATGCAAAAACTATTGATTTCGATTAAACTTTACAGTAATTAATATAGCTTGTACATCACAGTAGCTTGTACATATATATTTTTAACTAGCGACTAGCTTGCTTCCCAATACAAACTTTCATCCCCATTTTCACCCCCTTAAGGCATGATTTCCGAGATAAAAAAATTATCCTATGTCCTTCCCAGGGTCTCAAACTGTCTTTTTACTAAATTTTATCTAAATCGATTCAGTAGATCCAGAGATTACCCCCTACAACGTCACAAACTCACAAACTTCACTTCTTTATAATATTAGTATACATTTAAAAACATGAATGTTATTAGAAATTAAAACGCGGGTAAAGACTCAAAACGCTATTTAAAAAAAACGTATTATTAACCATTTTGTTTATTAAACTTTTTAATGTTGCTTATTTTGGAAATTTTCCATGGTCACATTTGCAGGTTTAAGGTAGCTCGTATTGCATTAGCATAATTAAGTCACGTGGTCAAAACCTGTTCAAACCATTATTACCAGCGATAGTTATTGTAGAATGTCAATTTGGTTAAGCTTTGATCTTTAATTTGTACTTTACCAAACCTCTTTTGCGAGTGTTGATGGTGAATATATACTTAATATTAATTAGTTTTAGCTCATTTCTGATATTTAGTGTTGAGAAAGACTGCCCTAATAGATCTTTTTCGTATAGCTTTAGGTTTGGCATTCTCTTGCTATATTGCAGGACTATAATTGTTATCTGTAAGTAACATGTTATAATCTATCGTTTTGAATCAGATTTACCGGCTACGGAAAATGCTTTATTTAGAATATATTTGCCAATCATTAATATACCTTTTATGTGTAATATAATACATGGAATATATGTTATGGGTACAAGTGTTTGCATAAAGATTAACATTTATTTTATCAAAATAATTATGTGGTTTTGTGATATGTTAAAATCTTAAATTACGCGAAATGTTTTTTACATATTTGGCGAATTAAATAAAAATATAACTATACTTCATCATACTTATGTTTAGTTGCAGAATGCAAAAAGAGATGGAAAAGTCTTCGGGATCAGTACACTAAAAAGAGAAAAGGTGAATCGACGAGTACAGAACGAACAAATTCTAACTGGGAGTATATGAGTCTAATGTCTTTTCTATCAAATGCCATTAAAATTCATGAAGCTAACGATAATGAGCCTTTGCAGTATATAGGTATTGAGTTTGTGAAAGAGGAGAATAGTGACGAAGAAGAACAACTAGATCAACAAAGTGTGAATGAAGATGCTTCTGTGAACATTAAAGAAATCGCCCAAAATATACAGCATGCAACAAAAAGAAATTCTCTTCAACCAATAACCAGAGTTATGGCCAGAAGACATGCCCAACGTTCTACTTTTTATGAAAAGAGAATAAATAAAGTGCCAAAAATTAAAACACCCATGCAAAAGTTTTTCGAATCAATGGCAGACATTGTGGATAAGCTACCACCGCAACTGCAGGCTGAAGTTAGACTCAAAGTATGTCAGATAGTGACTGAGACCGAATTAAAACATCATGCACACCATGACCCAAACCTTTGAATATTTCTTAAATAATGACATTGACAAAGGCAGTGGTAGCCCAGTGGTAACGCGCTCGCTTGAGAAACCGAGTGAAGCGGGTTCAAATCCCGGGTCTCGCACCTCTGATATTTTCATGTGCGAATCATTTCTAACATGATTACCACTTGCCTTACGGTGAAGGAAAACATCGTGAGGAAACCTGCATCTCTGAGAGAACTTAGCAAGTTTTCTAAAGACATGTGAAGTCCGCCAACCCGCACTTGGCCAGCGTGGTGGACTATGGCCTGATTCCCCTCGTACTGAAGGGAGGCCCGTGCCCAGCAGTGGGACGATAAAAAGGGCTGAGTACACAATACACAAAGACATTGACAGTTTTTATATAAATAATTGAATAAGTACATTTGTAAATATGTATAATAAACATTACTTATTTTAATGGGAATTTTAATTTTTCGTTATCTTTTAATACATTCAATACAGACATCATCATTTTATTTATTTATTTATTTATTATAAAATATAAAACCAATCCTTTAATTCAACGCTTGCTCTCTTTCAAAACGCGTTGATAACTTTTACTCTTCTTATTTTTCAATAATATTTTAATCAAAGTTCATGATCTCCCCGCTGTTGAAGAACTTTTATAAGTATGTATTGTCTTTACATCCATGCTTTTATTGTATGTATTGATATATTTAGTCAGTCTTTATATTTTCATTTATTATAATGTAAGCAACACATTCATGAGCTGTTAGACATAAGGTTTGATCAAAGATACGTCCTGATTCTAGATGTAACTTTGTAATGTACGAGTATTATCGCTTAACTTAGTGTGTTAGTTTATTTTATGCGTTTGTATGACTTTAAATGAATAAAGTGGTCGAAACTCGAGAGGTTGGATTTAAAACAAAAATAATTGAACACAACAGCTTTCCCAAATAAAATATTCTAATGAATTTTAATTTACTAGAAATGTTGACAGAAAAATCTTGTTAGTACAGTATAAGCCTTTTTATAAGCATATATATAACTAAGAGATATTTTCCCATTTCCATCATCGAAGAAATGTTGTGAATATAAATATGTATGTATGTTATTTGAATTCTAGTCACGTTGTTCGATAAACTTCGCTTTATGGCTTGTTTTACATAGGTTAGTGGACTCGCCAAATATAACGCCCACGTATTATATTTTTTTGCTATCAAAATTTGCATCATGGGTCTGGTTGAATTAATTATTAGTCATAATAAAAATTATACAGTTGCTACACGATAACAGAATAAAAACATTAAGACACTTGGTTTATTATGATTCAACAATAATAATCATAATAATATTTTTTTTGTATCTTTATTTTTTTTTAAATTATATTAGTTTCGTTTCTCTTTTGACAATGGTCCGTGGACATTTGGGTATAATAATAGGATCACATTTTTGATTGAATCACAGCTTCCCTGAAGATGCTAACAAAGGATCAAAACGCAGGTCTGCTAAAATACAATTAAGAAAAAGTTATGATTGCAAAATGTAAAAAAAAATCAAGAGAAAATATAATTAATGTATGAAAAATGCAACAAGCAATATAAGCATCTACATATTTAATCAATTTTTACATTTTTTATTGAACTTGACTTTCGGTCTAGAGTTTAGTATTATCAATATCTTCTATACCTACGTGTATTAACGACAGATGTTCCAAAAAACGTGCGATAAAAAATAATGCAGTTGCAAAAACACCTTGCTACTTGAATTTGATACTCTTGTTGATAGAATGGCGGAAGAACATTCTCGTATAGGTTATTTACGATATTTCCTAGTTTTTAAAATAAGTCCTTGGATTTATAGGTTTATTATTGTCCTTTGATGCATGAAGATCAAATTTTTAGAACTTAAACAGAACTCGGTGCGTTACGGTAGCGCGTCTAGTTGTTACCTTCTGACTCACACTGAAAAAACTCTTTTGTTTGTGCCTTTGGAGTAGAAGGTCACGAAATCGATTTTAATATGAATAATTTTTTGATCTTTTAGTCTTTTTTTTTTGGTTAATATTTTTTATAAAAGTGTCGCAATATAAATTATTATAAAGTAATGTTATTTTAACAAGAAGTTTAAAAATATTTTTAAAGTAAAACGACAGAGTTAAAAGTCGAGGTTTTAATTATAATTTCATTCGATGTAAATGGCAGGAAATGTTTCAGATGATCTTGTGATAATAAATTATAGATGATATATTAGAAACTAGCGACTCACCCTCGCTCCGCTCGGGTTCGTTAGGGTGGGGTCTGGGAGAACCACCCATATCCTTATAGTTAGGGGTATGGAAAATAGATAGTAGCCGATTCTCAGACCTACTGAATACGCATATAAAATTTGGTAAAAATCGGTAAAGCCGTTTCGGAGTAGTACGGTCATTGTGACATGGAAATTTTAAGATGTCATTCCCATAAATGTTTTTAGTTATGTCTTAGAATCATACGCGACATTGGCGAAGTAAATTGTGCAACACGGCACTTCTAGAAGCCACTAAAGAAAAAAATTGAATTGAATAGATTTTTTTTTGTTTTAGAATTGTATTTTTCAACGACTGTAGCAAGAATGATATCTTGTCTAAACCTTACTAGATATGGCAACTTAAATAAATTTATTCAATTACTTAATACGTGCTTTTCAGTCCGTCGGTTCCGTTAAGATTGTTACCTTATTAATAGGAACTATTACACTAGAACCACTAGAGTTAACGTATTATTTCCCCGTGTACAATTTGATTATTAATTTCGAGCGAAGTCGCGGTAAAATACGAGTAGCTATACTACAATGCATAACAAAAAACCATTCGCCTTATCATAAATTCATTATACTGTCAATCAACATCAAGAATTTTATTGCTTCCATTATTTACGTTTTGTAAGGTTTACACACTTCATGATGAATGAGTGCGTAATAAACCCTGTTTGCAAATAAATAAATGAAGCGAATATCAGCGAAATTTTCATATCGGTCTTTTTATAAAATTAACAATTTTTGGTGTAATTAATGATACACTGTACATATGGGCGAAATGAGGTTATTTTATATGTTTTATGTTTTAACTTGAATGTACGTAATTCAAATGTAATTTTTCATCATGACTACCACTTAATTATAAAATATTTCTAATATTGCCTTACGGTGAAACAAAATATCGTGAGGAAACTTCATTTCTAAGAGAAACCTAGCTAGATTTGGAAAGAAATGTGAAGTCCACCCATACTTGGCCAGTGTGGTGGAATATAGCCTGATTGATCCCCCTCGTAATTTTCAATAAGAGGGAGGTCAGTGCCCAGCAGTGAAGGGAAATTGAAAAAAGGATGAATGAGAAGCATATAAAGAAAATATATCTAATACAAGTATATATTTTATACAGAATTAAAAAAAAAACAATAACATAAATTTAATGTAGATGAAAACTTTTAAAGCTTTGTGGATTAATAATTAAAGGAAATAAGGTAATCCACATTGTTCTTTACATAATATGTATTTTATATTCTTACAAAGCGCTTTGCGACTAGTGGAAATAGATAAAATATGTATATAATAAATTAATATGATATTATATAATAAGATATTGGACTTTTTGATATATGTATTTAAAAATATAATTCATATATTGCATAACTAATATTTGTAAATAAGGTGCAACCGGAAACATCATTCAACGTGATAATTACTTACATGAATATTAACCATTTTTATTATTTATTTATACCTTTTATAATTTCGTTACTAAATTAAGTTTCAAATCGCTTTCGGCGAAGTCTATTTCAATACTAATTTGAGAGGCCAATTTTGCATGTTGCATTTATCATTTCTAGTTTTTTAATATGGCTCGAACCGTGATATAAGATAGCCATGTAACCTCCTCAAAAAACGCTAAGTCTTTTTCAAATCACCAAATAAACAACAAACTTTTTAGATGTATGTCTTAGTAGATTAAAACTTATTAAATTACTAGCATTGCCCGCGGCTTCGCCCGTTTTCAGATGACCAAAAACCAAATTCTTAGGTTTTACATATTAGTATACTCTTACATTACAATTTTTGTATTTTTTGTCAGAAATGAGATAATTTTCCGCTGTAAAAAGTATTCTATATGTTGACCCGGATAATCAGCTAAGACCATACCAAATTTCATCAAAATCCGTCCAGTAGTTTTTCAGTGATACGGTAGCAGACAGACAGACCGACAGACAAAAATTCTAAAAACTATAAATTCGGCCTCTGTATCGATTAATAATGTCTATTTCAATAAGATTTTCCAAAAAATATTTAATGTACAGATTTGACTCAGAATTTTATTATATGTATAGATTACATTTTTTTACTAAACGTCATATGTCTACCAGTTTGAATAACAATATCAGAGTGCAGTCGACATTTAGAAGGTAATCACTGGACTTCACTGTATTTCATAGAAATTAATATCAAAATTATAAGAAAAAGTTATTATATACTTATTACTACATTTTTTTAATAATTTTATTGGTGAAGACAGGTTTTTATGTTAAAAGTTTACATAATTTTTTTATATTTTAAATAAGTACACGTAGCATTTTATAATTTAAAAAATAAATGTATAAATTAAATTGTAGTTCCAAATATGTAGGTCAAGGCGAGAGAGCGCTTTATAATATGCAATGGAAGTCGTTCCACTTTAAAATTATATTTTTTATGAAAATAGTTATTTTAATACTAAAATGTAAAGGAAACAACATGAATACTCTGAGAATCGAACCCGCACCTATGGTAGATGGGTAGTAATTTAATTGATTAATAATTTCTAAGTACTTCAAACGCAGTATAAAAAATAGAATTTCATACAATTTAACCTCATATAGCGAATTAAATAATAGCTTCTACCATAAATGTATTACATAATGGAATACATACATAATAAGTAATTAAAACAAGGGAAATGTTACAGGAAACGTCTAGTTCATATACAATTCTTAGCACAAGTAAAATATAATGTAAGAGCT